TTTTTTTTGAGACTAGATAAAATCGTCAAAGAAAGAAAATGTTATATGTAATCCCGACTTTTTTTATCTTTTTTTTTATAATTTTATTTTTTTTTTCTTTTAAGGCATAATTTGAATCATTATATAATATAAGTAAAAAAAAAAAGTTTTGGTGTCTGTAGTAATGTGGGGATGATTGTGACAGTTCAAAGTGTTGAGGGGTCATATTCAGTGATGACTATTATTATATATCAAATCAAGAAATTAAGGACACACCGCCATTTAACTTGATGACACTCCCAATACGTGAAAGCTTCTTTACCTTCAAATTTATAAGGATATCAAATGCAACTAATATTATATTTTAGTCAAAATTGGGAAAAAAAAAAAATCATTCAACATTTAATGGCATGCTAAAAATATGAATTAAAAATCCCAATCACCATTGTATTTTTTGACCCGGATCAGCCCGATAGGTCGACCAAGAACCTAGTCTAGGTGGGTCCTCAGTACTCAAGTCAAACTCACGCTCGATCGGGCATTGTCAACGGGTCAAACCAATTTGACCCGACCATTAAGAATTGTATATTTACAGCTTGGTTAATATTTACGACGGGATACAATATTATTAAAATTTTAAGGTATAAATAAAGGTGATTTGAAGTCACAAAAAAAAGAAAGTGATTGATAAGTTCTAATTTGGCAAAAAGATTTATGCATTTTATGATGGCTTGTCAAGGAATATCCAAATATCCATAATCTGCAAACACATGCAAATCTATGGAAGCTCGACTGTTAAAGAATAGAGAAAAAAGGTACAAAAAATTGCATGAGCTCTCAGCTCTCTTTTAGGCTTTTTTCGACCACTATCATACTATCTTTTTTTCCATAAAGAAACTTTTTTAATTTTTTTACTGAAATTAATTATGGAAATAAAAACATAGAATCTGTAACGTCAAATCATGTTGTTAGGGTCTAGGATTTTAGTAGCATGTCTAGGGTTGATTGTTCCATATATATATATAATATTTATAGGGTTAATTGCATATAAAACCTTTGACCAAAAAAATTTCGACGATAAGACGTCCAATTTTTCGGTCAAATGTCGTAGATCTAAATTTTTTACGACCTTTGACCAAAAAATTGGACGTCTTGTCGTCAAATTTTTTTCGTGAAACTCGGATATGTTGTTGGCACGGAGGAGAGCTACAAGATCATATAAAAATTTTCAATATCCGGCAAAGTTGGCGGCGGCGGGTGGCGGTTGGCGGCGGGTGGCGGTTGGCGGCGGCGGTCCGGCGGACGAAACAAAATTGCAACACTTAATAAAGTTAGTATTTTTTTGCCAAATTGAAAAAGTTGAGTTTTATTTGCAATTAAATAAAAGGTAGTGGTTTTTTATGCAATTAACCCATATTTATATATATATTTTTTTTTGGCAAATATATATTATATTATTTATACAAATGCATATATGTGCTATGATTCTGAGCTGTAGCTTAAGGATTACATGATCATCAGCAGTCTCATAAAAATGCAAGATTATTAGTCTAATAAAAATTGAAAGTCAAGCATCAAGTTTACATATAGGGCTCTATAATATGACCATATCTAATTTTATAGAAAAATCCAAATTTTGCACCAACTAGAAAACTAATGCAAGGGCGCTACACAGGGGTGAGCATGAGTCGGTACGGTTCGGAGATTGACAAATCTCCGAAACCGTACCAAAGTTCGGAGATTACTAAAATTCATTCTCCGAGTCTCATGCTCAGTCCTAGGCTGCTACATAATGAACATGAATGGATCGAATACAGAATACTTGCCAACCAACTCATTTTTACTCTTGAAACTCAAGTTCGAAAATATGTTCGACGCAAAGATTTAAACACCTCTACTTTAGTTATTGTTGATAATTTTTTTTCGAATTGTGTGATATTCTCTATAATCTATTAATGCTTAATAAACAGTTGATCATGGGGAAATTGATGATGACTAAAAGGCACAAACAAACGAGATACACTGACCGTACAGACATATATGCATTCAAAATATTCCCGGCAAAAAAGGTAAAATTGGCAAGCCTAGTGACCTAACTACACAGTCATAATTTCTTCAAAAACATATACATATTTTCATATTGAAATGTCGTATTTTAAAAAATAATGTAAAACAAAATACGACATCTCGGAATATAAATATGACTGATCGACCAACGTAACAAATAAGCTGGCTCACAACTGATCTGTACCGTCGATAAAGTTCAGTTTCCAAAACGTTAAAACCGTCATAGTTTGGGAGGTGAAAAAAAAAAATCTACACAAACCATTTGTATATAAAGCTTTTTACTTTTGAAAGCGATTAAAACAATCAAAGATTATAATAAACACAGTGGTCCTTTCATATCCATGGGCAATTTTCAATAATTCACCATATATATGTCCCACCAACACCAACTTGAACACCATTATGAGTACTTCACCCAAATGTTTGCTTTTCAGGACCAGAATATCAATAAGATAGCTTTTTTGTAAAATAACTGTATCATTTTTCTGTTTTTTTTTTTTTTTAAAAAAAAAATCAAGCTCAGCAGAAGCAGACCACCAATCCACCATAACAGATAACAAGGTAACAAGGTAAATTATTAGAATCGGGGGAAGAGAGTGCGGTCCCACCAGGTGAAGCGGACCATAAGAGGGTGAACCTAGTTGCACCTGAGTAAAGTTCCATCCCAAAACCAATTGGTGATGGGAGGAGTAGCCCACTAGGCTTATATACTAGGCTCATTTCCCCTATAGAATCAATGTGGGACAACTCACAAGTGATATTCCAACAGTAAATTAACAGGTAACAAGGTTATGATCACTCTAAATAAAAAGTTACACACTTAAAAGCATAAATTATGAATTGTCTAAAGGAGCTTATAAGCTCTACATAAGCATTTGCCAAACTTAACAGAACAAGTACTCATAAGCTGTTTCTTTCTGAGTTCTGACCACCTCTATTTTTTTATTTTTTATTTTTTTTTTTCCTCACAAAGTTGTTAATAACAAAGTCTTGTGAACTCTTATTATCATCTTATTTTTATTCAAACTCTTCCATAACTTTGTATGATCAGATATGGTATAGTTATGTGTAGTAAAAACCATTTTACAAGATGTACAGCTTGTAAGATCTCTTTAAATAGGCTCGGCCAACCACCCGCTGAATTAGAAGACCATAATCCCGCTAAAAAACAAGAAAGACAAGCAAGGAACACAATCCAGAACAAACCTGTCACACACTTTAAAACGAATTTATCAATAACGAGGCCAACAACTTGATTAAATATGATATAATTTCGAATCGTACAGGATACAACAACTGGTTTAGATTCTATGTCAACCAAAACAGGGAAAAACCAAAAAAAGGTCCGATTTTCTGAAGATTTGGTTTATTGGTTCATTCCTTATATGAACCTCTTCATCCTCACTTTATGCTATGTTATAATGAAACATTAATGAAATATCCTCTGGGATCTCAACATCCTAATACTAAAGGGTTTCGTTTCTCCATATATCTAGAAAGACTACCTATAACTATGTAATTAATCACGAGAAAAGAATGGGGTAACATATCACCAGCCAATAAAAAGAATTAATTAACAAAACCATCAAAATGGTCACTTACAGTCGATCAGGATCTCGAGTTCTCGATTGCACTTGCTAAACAGGGTTCGGTCCGGCAATCTCAACTCTTCTATAGAATAAAACATAAGCAGCTGAAGTTTTGATCTTGTCCACACTGATTGGTGACACGTGGCTGTCGTCAAAGTCATACCACCTGTCACCACCATGCTGGAAAAAAAAAAAAAAATCAAATACACATGCTTGAGCCTTGAAGACAGACATACTAGTCGTTGACGAAGTGATTAATCATAAAAATGAGTTCTTACAAGAAACTCGAACTAACTTTCAACATTAGAAGTACCCCTTTCACATTAGTTCTTTATCTTATAGATTGAACCCGCTGCATGGGGTTATAATCAATAATCTTGGGGCATTTGTGATTTTGA